TACAAAGGAAAGCCCATCAGAATCACAGCAGACTTTTCAACACAAACCCTCAAGTCAAGGGCAGCCAGGAGTGAGGTATTTCAAGCCCTAAAAGAAAACAACCTCCAACCTAGACTGATGTAGCCTGAAAAACTCTTTCAAAATTGATGGGGAAATAAGATACTTCCACAACAAAAAAAACCTAAGAAATTTCATGAATACCAAACCAGCACTCCAAATAATTCTAAACAATATCCTAGAAAAAGACAATGAAGGTCACAACTTCATGAGGCCTAACAGAGAAAATCCATCAGGCAAGGCAAGAAATTAAAGGGAGAGGGGGAAAAATAAAAAAAATAAAAGAGCCAACAACAGGAAATAACATGACAAGGATAAGTGAATAAAGACCAGGTGGCTGAGTTCTAGGATAAATTTCTAAGTTGAAAACATAATAACTCTTCTACAAGGGCATAAATTTTTATGCCGTATTTTGATCCAGCATTTTTCCATAAGACTTTCACATTCCGGCAAGTAACATGAGAAATCCCTGTTAAGTACAGCAGACCTATGAATGCTTTCAGTTCAGCTAGTGAAGTGTCATAATAAGTACATTTTTTAATATGGCTATTGGTGCATACAGAATGTTTTACTTGTATTTCAACCTTTGTGTATTTCACAACATCTTGTAGCATTTCATCTGTTACAATTTCCAGCACTGAATTGCACTGCTGGCATTTTGTCCAAATAGTTTCACCCCTGCCATGATCCTCACTATATTTTCAGACCTAGTTCTAACATTGGACTGTTCCATTTGGTTGTGCAATCATTTTGCAACATTTCAACTAGTGAAATATGCACTCACATTGCCCTTTTCTTCATCATCTGAATCAAAGAGGTCTGCATTCCCTGTGTCTGTATCAGTCAATTTTTGCTCCATTTCACTGTCACAGGAACTTTAGTTTACAAGGCCAATGTCAAAGTCATTATCATCTTCATTCATCCATGCATGAGTAATCTGATGACTCACTTTTGACCTCCTCTAAAACTTGCAAATCTGATTTTTCATATGCTATTGTACTGAATTGGACGACTTCTACCAGAAAAATCAAAAGAAAACTTTTTCTAAAAAACAAATCCTAAATGTACAGAAATTTAGCTATGAGCATTTCATGGGTAAAACTCATCTGTTGCTGCTTTGGAGCTCCTTACACACCTTGCCATTCATATGCCAAGTGAGTGAATGCACACATGGGATTTTGCTTTCCCCAAGTGCAGCTACTGTGTATCACACCACATTCCAATATGATAAAATACATGTTTACATAACAGAAGCATGATGTAGGTGTATTTTAGCCCCTGTGATGCTCAGTTAAACATATGCAAAACTTGTTAGATGGAGCATTACATGGGTAAAAATCCCAGTTTGACATTTTTGCCCACATGCACACACCTTGCAGTTCATCATACCAAGTGTGTAAACACCAAGATTGCTTCCTGAATTCCCCAGGCATAGCCACTGAGTTGTACAGCTGGCTGTTAGTATGCTAAAGTACAAATTTTTAGTAGAAAAGTATGGGATGGGTTGTTATAACCCAATGTTATGAATGATAGACAGATTACTGTGGCCATGTTCTTTCACAGGACATCCCCACATGAGTGTGGAGTCAGCTATGTGACTTGATTTGGCCAAAGAAATGTTAGCAAACATAATGCAAGCAAGAGGGTTGGAAAGCCTTGACATGGTGGGAATCAATCTTGACTCCATCCCTCTGTTACATACTAGCCGGCTAGACAATGAAAGGTAGCATATGAAGCACAGTCAGGTTGCTTCTATTTCCCCACCTGAGATGTCTCTAGATCATCAGCAGCTATCTGGGGCTCAGACTTCTGAGTGATGCAGATCCACAAAGCCATGCTTCAGTAGGGCTGCGGCTGACCACAAACACAAGTGAGACTTGCTGAAAGTGGCCAAACCAGCTGAAGCTTGCAGATTTCCTCTCTGAAAAATAGGCTAGCAATTTGAAATGGCTTGTTACCCTGCATTATTGTAACATGTCTTTGTTGGAAGGTATTGGAAAAAGAAGAGAAAAATCAGCACCACTAGATTCAAACCAAAGGTGTTTAAATATAAAACTTGTGAGACAAGGATTTGAATATGCTAGGTTTACAGGAAGCTTAAAATCAAAATAAAAACAGAACTAATATTCTAATAAATCCAAGGCACTATGTTATGGTGTGAGCAGGTCACAAAATGAAAGGACACGTAGCCTCTACATCCCAGAACTCAACACAGGGATTGTCCCTTGACACAGATATTGGTCTCTGTTACCAATAATTGTATGGACATACTGCGGCACCAGAGCTTTAAATTGCTGGAGTTGGTTAAAAATGCACTAGCTCTTCTCCAATATGATTCTGAGGGCACATTAAAATAAAAAAGCCTATTCTACCCACCCGATGAACTTGAAGTAATGAGGTCTATAAGTTGACTTGAACAGAAGAAAATGATATTAAGCTTTCATGGAAGACAAATGAAAGCATCTACCTGTAACCTTTCTTACAGTCACAGACCCTTTGCCATTTAAAACTCTGCAGCTGTGGTGCATTATTCCCAGACAGCAGCGAGTTTAATAAGACTTCATCGAGACACTGAACCTTCCAGTCCCTGGCTCCCTGCTGGGAACCCTAAGGCACTTGCTGTAGAAGCTGACAATCTGAGCTAACATCAGGGCATGGATTTCCTCAGACACAGGGGCACTGGTTTGCATAGTAATGTCTTTCTGCTGCTCTATGATGGATGCTAATCACAGAATGGTCTGATTCCATGGCAGTCCCAGCACCCAGCACCCTTGGGTGTTTAATTCCAGATGTTCTCTTCCAGGAATTCCAGTCGTTGTTCTTCTGTACTGAAAAATGTGGCTCCCCCGCCAAGTAAAGTACTATCTCTTTGGTGTGCTATACAAGGTCCTCCTTGAGCAAATTCCTACCTGTGTGATCTGGCCTTAACTCCCAGAATTCTTCATTTCACACCTGTCAGCCCTGCTTGGTAGTTATTTAGGTTAGTTACTTGCTATTCCTACTTTTTCACTTCTGGGCTTTTGTCTGTGACTTTCATCTTTGTTAGCTAGCTCACTATTCTGTCTTCAAAATCTGGCCTTTGTAGCTGGACACTGTGTTGCACAACTGTAATCCTAGCACTCTGGGAGACTGAGGCAGGAAGATCATAAATTCAAGCCCCACCTGGGCAACATAGCTGCTTAGTGAAAACATGTCTAAAAATAAAAATTAGAAAGGGCTGAGGATATTACTCTATGCTATGACATTGGTATTGTTAATAATAACATTGTCAATATCATTACCACCAAATTTTCAGGTGAGGCATAGAAGGGGTTAAAGCAACTTGCCTAAGGTGAGTGTCAATTCTATGAGGTTGGAAGTTAGGTCTAACTTGTTCATGAGCACAAACCTGGCTCGTATTTAATAAACTGAATGAAAGAAATGTCTCAATGAAGCTATTCCTGCAGTCAAAATGAATACAATTCTCCTTTGCTTTAATATCTCCATTCTAGTACTTAATATATTCTAACTCATAAAGTTGGACTCTCATTTCCAAATAATCTGCATTTTCACATATCCCTGTAGATTGACACCCCAATCTGCCTTTTCTTGGAAGTGAGACTTTCAAAACACCTGCTACTTAGAGACAGGGCCAGGCATCCATGGGAATGGTAAGATGGACTGTTGGTAGGAGTTGGTACCTGATTGGCAGCCCCTTACTCTGAAAAGGACAACCCTGTCCCTTTCCTCATCCACTGTATGTCTCTTTCTGGTGTGAGAGTGTTCCATGAGCTCATTAGCTACATAGATCCACCATCCAAGATGAATGTCCTTGGCCAACATTCTCTCTTATGCCTCCCTCATCTTGGCTTTATCCATGGTAGTCAGGGTGGTTATGGATGTACAGGAATAGTGGATTGCAGGCAGGCAACTAAGTGAAGAGGGGGAATTGTGGTGGTCATACAGAGCACCTGGACCTGATCCAATTGTGACTGTAGAAGTAGAAAGTTCTTTCAGGCCATGACCCAGTGATTGGAAAACCAGGTGTCATTATTATCGGCCCTTTCCACAATACAAGAGGAATCATGGAAGAGGCTTACAAGTAAAGTCCTACCTCTGATTTAACTTCTTCTGTGGACAGTTGCCGTTAACTTAGGTCTAAAGTTATCTGCTGACCTTAGACTCTGTAAGATGATTTTTAGCTCTGGCTGAGTCACTGGAGCCTGATGGAATTGCATCCATAGTTTTTTGTTGTTTGTTTGTTTGTTGTTTTTTGAGGCAGGATCTCACTGTGTAGTTTAGGCTGGCCTTGAACTCACTTTGTACTCCAGGCTGGCCTCGAATTCATGGTAATCCTTCCATCTCAGCCTTTTAAGAGCTGGGATTACATCAGTTTGCTGCAAGAGACATTCATGCATTTAATGAAATGCATCTAAAATGACGTAGAACCTCACCATAACTCATCAATGTTAAGTCTTTCTCCCTTTCCCTTTTAACTGAATGTTTATGAAGAAAGCAAGGTGATTTAAAGACATTTCTATAACCCAACAGTGAGGTGTAATTTAAAAGACAGCTGCTGTTAACACATCCCTCAAAGAAATCATATTCTGCTGCTGCTGGTTTCCAAAGATAAATTTTTTAAAAGAGAAAAAGGAAACTGATATTGGTGATGAGTAGACTGAATAATACTAGAGCAATAAAAGTGATAGTTTAAAATGTATAGTTACAATTTATCTCAGCAATTTCTTAATTGCAACATACTAAAAGATACACTTGGTTCATTTTGGAAAGAGTACGTAGGAGATCAAGTTGATTTACAAACCACTTTCACATCAAATATCTCATTCATTCTCACAATGCTTTGTTTTAGACAGTTCCTTTGCTGTTTTATATATGAGGAAATTAGATGATAATTTTACCACCCAGCCAGTAAGCAACATATTCAAGGCAGAGACAGTAATCAAGGGCAGGACAAAAAATGTACTCAAATTTTGTCCCTTTTATTTACCAGTTTTATGATTTACACGAATTACGAGGTAAAACCTGGTTTTACCAAACAGGTTTTATAATTTAGTACCCTCATACAATACCAAAATGCTAAAGAGACTATGGGAAAAAAAAGAAGGAAAATGAAAATATATACACTTTTTTTTTTACCAAATAAGATATTCCAACCATTATGGACATATCTCCACTGTCCACTCTGATTATCACAGTCCAAATATAAGTAAAATAAGTGACACACTCAATAAACCCTTAATAATATGTTGATTGTGTTGGTGTTCTCTTTATAAATATATACATATGCTATCTCCTTGATTCAGCAATGTGATATCAGTTAAAATAAAACTCAGCACTGTGGGCTGGGCAGAAAATGGGCTGAGCCCCTAGCAGCTGAAGGCTAGTCTGGGCCAGCTCCAGACAAGGATGGGAAGGTTGTTGTGTAGAAGGTCTCAAACTAGCATGCTGGGCCCAACCTAAAAGGCAGAACCATTTTGCTAATAGCACTACCCTAGGACCGGAATACCCCTTAGGCTCTGTACAGATGGAATACTGTCAGAAGATTTGTTGAGATCATGAAGTCAAATGTGGTGGCAGTTAACTATTGCCAGAACAATACTGCATAATAAAACTCTGTAGAAAATTTGAGGCTCAGAAATCTTTGTCTCTTCTCAAATAGTTTCAGTCATTGGCAATATTACTCTGTCTACAACTAAGTGGGTTTTTATGTATTTGATTCCAGTTCATTCTATGTGGCTAAAACACACTTTTTCAAGATTTTTTTCTCCAAATTTAATTAGTAGTACTTCAATCACATCAGGTGGCTGAGGTACCATGTCTTAGAGCTCTAAAGGAGGTTGTATCTAGCTGAAATGTCTACTAAGGGTCACCTTATAATATTTTGCAATGCTATAGTCACATTCTTGACTGGGCCTTTACCCTGAGGTCATGTTTTCCTGGGAGCCACCTGGATTCAGCCTTTTACTCTTTTGCTCTAATTTAATAAACATGTCCATGATCTTATGTCCCAGGCTACATTTTAATTGGAGAAATTTTTTCAGGCTGGAGAAACTAAAGATAAGAACGATTTTATTTTCTAACTCCACAACTTTCATGTTTCCTATAGATGCTAAGTTCTATTTGCAAACTGACTTTTATCTTTTCTTTTACATTTTGAGCATATCTCTCTCTTGTAGGACCTTGTTATGTGCATTTAAAGCAGTTTATTTCAATTTTTCTTAGAAACCATTTTATCCTCTCCTATGCCGCTCACTGCTTTACTTACATCATACAACAAATGAATGGATAAAAAAAGTTTCAATATTTTGATTTGCCAGCACAGAATGTCCTAATTGGACCTGAAGGCCCAATTTATCTGTCCCAAACTACTTTCCTAGAATGCTATTGAAAGGCATCAAGAGTTAGTTCAGTTCTAAAGAAGTACTTACAAATTTAAATTATACTATGTCTATGTCTTAGTTACTTTTCTCATTGCTGGGACAAAATACACAATACTCAAAGTTAAAGTTTGCTTACAGTGGTTTCAGTCCATAATCAGCTGTCTCCAAGGCAGGGGGCATCAGAGCATAGGAGAAACAGTCTGTGGCAGGGTAGGCAGAAAAGCAGCAAAAAAACAACAGCAAGCTTCCCTTTCTCTTTTATCCCATCCAGGCTATAAGTCTTTTGGGTGGAGCCACCCACACCCAGGGTGAGCCTTCCATTATCCACATCCAGAAATATACTAAACTAATTTAGTTATCACACACCCTTAATCCCAGTACCACACAACTCTAAAAGGTCCCACCTATGAGGGAATGAGGCTTTGGGGGTACTTCTAGATACAAGCCATAATAGTCTACATCTCTTTTAGAGATAAGACAGTAGAGCAAAATTTGGACATTTCTAAGGATTTTTTAAATATCTTGGAAAAATTAGAGAATTCCAGTCTCTTGGAAGGGCCACAGATATAAATTCTACCAGTCTGAAAGTATCTGCAGTGGAACTCTAACATTTGTTAGTCCCAATTAAGTGGTGGCTATTTGATAGAGGTATTAGATGGTGGAATGATCTGCTTCCATATAAGCACTACACAATCACCCCAGGTTCATGAATGAAAGGTTCCTACAGAAAAAGATGAACACCAATTATTTCTGATAGAAAAATTTACAATTTTGCAACTATGCCTGGGACTGTTTGTAGATCAATTAGCTGTAAGTTCAAAGTTGTAGACAATGCAGACTTTGCAAGTAGATAGGTGCACTTTCATTTTCATGCCACTATTGTGTGTAGCAACAAAAGCCTAACCCAGCACGAGTATACTCTTTGTATCCAATAAGGATAGAGTCAAGGCTCTTACCACTGGAAATTCTTGCATAAATTCAGCTTTCAGCATTAGGCAAATGGACCAAGACTTTTTGAAATACAGATTTAACAGACTTGGCTATTAATCAGCCCTTCACTGTCCATGGATCTAATTGGGGATTCAGTCTTCCAATGGACCCAAACCTTCCATAAATTAACACAATCTAGGCTTTAGAGCAGAAAGGCTTGGCCCAACTCATTCCAAAATTAAACATTCCTCAACCTGAACAAAGAGGAGCTCATACTTCAATTCAAATGCTTGGGCAGATGTCTTAGCATATTGCCTTTGAATTTGGTGTAACTAATGTACTTAGAATTTAACCTCCACTGATGGGCAGATGCAATTTCCTTATGACATTGTCCCTGGAACCTAGCAAGGAATCTAGCCATAAATGTAAAGTACTGTTCATCTCTGGCCCTGCCCTAAAATTCAGCTAATTATAGTCTGGAAACTTGGGTTCTGTTGAAATAAATATGTTGATGCATGAGGCATATCAGAGCCATGGCAGGGATGGTTAGAAGAGAAATGATCTGAAACTGACAGTAAGAACAGTCATAATCAGCATGATTTTCCATGTGTTAGGACTGTCACACTTTATGTATAGTATCCTCCACTTTATAGATGGAAAAAAAACTTAGGCTCAGAAAAGTTGAATAACTTGCCTCAGGTCACCCTCTTAACAGGTAGCAGAACCAGGATCTGAAAGGAGGAATTTAGGATTTATAGTTCCACCAATATACTTGGTCCATGTTGTTGGTCCATGTTATACAGGTACCTCTAAACATAGAATATTTACAAGTTGCCACCTATAATTGTGCATTCTGAAGATGGAGATGTTAGTCCATCAGTCCCTTTTTCTTTTTCTTGGGCACATTCTATCTCAAAATTTGAAAACATATATTTTCACATGGGTAGAGGTTCTCCCAGCCTCTTCTTGAGAATAGATTACCATTCTCCTTTGCAGACAAAATCAATCCAACTGTTTGTTTACAGAATCATTTTGAGCTGCTCAAGTGAACGAAGACTTTAGTGAAAAATCCCAGACTCCAACTTATATCATGGTAGAGATGAATTCAGTCAGGAAATTTCAGTAGCTTGCTATTGAAAGTTGTTGACGAGCACTGGCTCTTCTATCAAGAGGAATTATATGCAATCTATGTAACTGATCTACTAGATGTAGATTTATATAAAACACTTGGATTATAGATAAAGTCTTTTAAATATAATTATTAAAATTTTATAGTTGATTCTAAGCAGTAATAAAAAATGGGATCGATTACTTCCTCAAATATCTTGTAAGTTGTGAATATAAAATCACTGCCAAGAAAAAGAGGAAAGTTTTTCTGAAATGCTGTGGAGTAAATTCAGCTGTTAGAAAAAGCAAAGGCCTTGGCCTTCACTGTTTCATACCACTTAGAATTTAAATATGTGTTGAAAGATTATTCTTAGTCACTCTGGTTCTCAGAATGGTATTAAAATACAAGCTTTGTCAGAAAATGAATATCTCATAATCTCTGCTGAACTCACACAATTTAGTCTAAACTTGGTATTTGTTTCATGTTCCTAATATGCATGCATTCCTACCTTACTGAATAATGTTGTGAAGACTAGAATCCTAGAGTTGTCCTTAAAGCTTCCCTCTGTCTTACCCCTATATTCAGTCTCCAAATCCTAATAATCTGTTGATGCTAACTTAGTTTAAGTCCATTCATTTCTCTGTGCTGCAGCACCACCATAATTCAGGCTCCTACAATTTCAAAACCAAATTCCTGAAAGAATCAGGATCCTCACTGATCTACTGCCTGCAGGGTTACTTCCTTTCACCTCTCTCCACACTGAGGCTGTTTGTCTTTCTGGAATGGAAAAGGGATTCCACTATCTAAAATGCTTTCCCTAGTCTCTATAGTTTTAAGGACACGTTGCAAGTTCCTTAGCCTGTGTACATGGCTCTCTGCTCTGGCCTGCCATCTCACCATCACACATCATTCCAACTGATTCAACTAAGAGCATGTCCCTGGTGCGCTAATGTTTTTGTCTCCTCAAGCTTTAGTTTTTGTGTTTAAGTGCCTGAAATGTCCTTTCCCTGATCCTCTATACCCAGAAAGAGATAGGCATAGAAGAAACCAGAACAAGAACTAGAGACAGATGTGCATGCACATACATTTTGTTTATGAAAAGAACAAGATCTGGAATGGCATCTACTAAAACTGTACATGTGAATCCTTGAAGGAATTATGTATTTATTACTTTTCCATATTTTTGGATTTTATACTGCATATATTAAACTACTTTTTATGCATTTTTCAATTACATTTTTCCAATCTCACCTCCAGAGCTACTGACTCAGCAGGGAAGGGTCCAGTACTATGATGTTCCAAGGTTCACAGACACTCTGCTAATCAGGCAGTTTGGGGAACTATGGTTGAAATTATTGTTTCCAATATAATGAGACATTACTGTCTTTTAAGAAATATCCAACTTTATTGTACAACAATAGTTCTATTATTTCCTTTTATTTTATAATAGGTTAATTCTACTA